CTGAGGACATGACAGCTCTATGTGAATCTAGTAGGATTATTCGACTTTCAAGAAGGTGCGAATCCATGATCATTAATCAGGTATTAGTGATCCAGGATAATGGACCTGCTAGTTGCAATAAAATAAAGTCAAGTGTTGACTTAAATGAGACAGCAAGGGGCCATGATACTCGAGATGAACTCGGCGTATGTGAACAAGGTTTGGACCTTGGTCGAGCCTCCTGACGGAATAAAACCCATAAGGTTTTGTAAATAGTTTACAAGGGAAGGGTCGATGTGGATGTGAATATCCATATATACAAAGTAAGGCTAGAAGTAAAGGTTAAGTGTTGACCTTGGTGAAATTTTTCTCCTGTGGCCTTGCTGAAATCCATTCGGGTTTTATTTGCAACAGTTGCATATCGTAACAAAATGTTAAGAGAAGTCTCTATGGAGCTGAAATCTTCGATTTGATGAAAAAGTCAAAGTGTTTGATTTTATCAAATTTGAAGACGAATTGTGTGTTTACAAGAAGATAGTGGGAGCATTGTCGTATTCCTAATATTATAGAAAACGATATCCCTATGTTTCAATAGTTGAAATAATGGTTGTTAAATGATTTATTCATAAATGATATAGGATAAGCAACTTGATCTATGGAGGTATATCTAGAAGATTGCTTAACTCATCCCAATTTACATAAATGAAATCTTAAGAAGATTTTATATGGAGAAACTGATTTACTCTTAAGCGGTATGTTGGAAAGGTTCCAAACGTGAAGTAAATGTTGATTCAATAGTAGAAATCTAATACATGATTACTTCAGAAGTAGTAAAGAGTTGCAATCTGGATCATGATGTTCATAAATGAACTTAGAGTAGTTCCTGATATTATTGATCACATACCATTGTATTGTGATAACAATAGAGCCATTGCGAAAGCAAAGGAACTAAGGTCTCATCGATGATCCAAACATGTATTAAGGCAGTATAATCTCATCAGAGAGATAATACATAGAAATGACGTAAAGAGAAGAACAAATTTTCACATTTAACAATATTGCAGATCCACTGACAAAGAGTTATCGTAGTATAAATATGATCGTCATGTAGACTTATGATATTAGATACATAAGTGATTGGATCTAGTGCAAGTGGGAGTTTGCAAGTATTATGCTCTAGGTCCAATCAACTTTGGACATAAATACTTTTATATATAATTAATGCAATTAAATGACAGATCTATTATTTAATTAATAGACAATTAAATAAATAATAGAGTCCATAGATTTAAATCTTAGTAATTTGTTAATCACAAGGAGCTGTGATTGTGAGATACAAATTACATCTGATTGAATCTTAAATCGTCCATGGTTATAAGTGATAACGAGATACGGATATCGTTATTACGGATAGACCATCACGTGGCATTTCTTACTTGTAAAGTAAGTAGCTAATCTCACAAGTTAAAGTGTGGTGACACTTAAATGACAAGTGGATGTTTTGTTATAGAACAAAATATTGGAAACCCGCCGAGAGATTCCACATGGATAACTATCTGAGTGTCAGTGGTTAATCTCTAACGTTCGGTAGTGAAATTGGTCCTTAGACTTGAGGTCGTCATAGTACCTTATATAAGGACAGTCATACTTTGGCGGTGTTGGATGTTGCTCTGCAAAGGGTCCCTAATACGACATCGTTCTGGAACGTCAAGAATCGTATGAAGGTTGTGATTGACCAATAAAGGATTCATCACTCTTAGATAGTAGGAGATTATGATCTGCGTTTCATTCAATTAAGTCGATAACGAAATCCTTGGTTAAGGTGTACTCATAAGTCGAAAATGAGTTTTCGACTTATATTGACATAATACTGGAGTGAAAGATATGATCGAAATTTGGGATTGACACAATTCCATATCTCGTAATTGATCGGATTATATTGACGAATGGATTATAGATTCACGGTAAATGAACGAATTTAGTTTTGTCATACCACGTGACATTTCCCGTCACATGTATTGCCCTGACACATTGATAGATGTCAATCAAGGTCGACGAGTGTGAATTGACGATAAATTAAAAGGGTGTTTTAATTTCTCAATTTTGATTAGATCAAAATAATATTTCATGTCGTTAGGCATCGTGGTTGGGAACCTAATGGGTCACACGCAAAAGAGAATTGGAAGATTGCAAATTGCCAATTGGTTAATTTAACAATCGTTGAATAAATTAATTAATTGGATTTGTTATTTATATTTTCGAATTAATTAATTGAATTAATTAATTCACGGATCGGGTTTAATTAAATAGATTAATTAAATATTGGACCGGACCGGGCCGAGCCTGTTTGAGTTTATATAAATACATGGTCAGGGTTTGAGGTCTATATAGTTTTCATTATTCTTGCTGGCACAAGAGGAAAAACTCTAGCAGTTGCAATATATTCTCTGTGTGGATTTCATTGGAGGCTGGACAATTTGACAGCTGTGGGAGGTAGATTCAAGATTGCTGGAACGAAAAGAAAAGCAAAAGATTTGCAGAATTCTTCAAAGGTATAATCTTTATCACGATTTCTATCTAAATACAAAGGGATTCTCGGTGGGAATCGAAATATTTTTAATTTCCGCCGTGCATGTGTAAGTAGATTTCCAACAGAGAGTATGTAGGATACAAATAGATCCAATGAAGGACGAGTGGTAAAGGTTACGGTTTCAACTGCTCACTTGTTCTTTTCAATGCAAAAGGTAGAACCACTTTTGGGTGTTGCCATATTGTGGAAATCTTGAAATACGTGTATTAGAAGAGAAATGCTTTAATTTGGTTGCATATGGAGATGCTACACCTCTGATTAAGGTTTATATATTGTCGATTAAACCCTAATCTCGTCAAATTGAAGATACAGGCTTCGGGATATTGTTATGAATTAAAATGTGCAATGCATCTATGAAAGGATCAGTCTATGTTGAGGATTTCAATCTCTTGAGGGGATTCTAGATAGATGATGATTATTATTATTATGAATGAATTTGAATTGACGCGGGTTTGGGGATTCTGACCTTGAAATTAGCCTATTACGGACATGTTTGGTCGAACAAAATTCACTTAGGGTCCATTTGATTGTAAGGATGAAATTTGGATGGAAAGAAAACGAATTCTATGAAATTGAATTGCTAGAACTTGTTTTCTTGGTAATTGTCAATTAATTGTTTCATTGGTATAATTTTTCATCTGAAAAATGTTGAAATTTTGAATTTTGGTGTTCGTTTGGCTTTGATTTTCATGAAAATTGTCAATTAAAGGGATATAATTTTTTATAATTCTGGATAAAATTTGTTCCCATTGCTGAAAATAAAATTAAAAAAAAAAGCTGGAAAAATGAGAATTGGTTTTCCACCAATTCATGGAAAATGCACATGTGTGGGGAAAAGATGGAAAATGAATTACATGGAAAACTTTTGCTATCAAACAACAAAAAAGTTGGAAAATGGAAAAAATTCCATGGAAAATATCCCATACCAAACAAGCCATTACTTGATTATGTTCAGTTATTTCCTCTTTTCCTTTTTTATTACTATAATTTTACATTGTTTTCCTTCAAAAATTTATCACAAAGTAATTATTAAAATTTTATCAAATAGTATGTGAAAGGCGTAAATTTCACTTCAATAAATTGTCACATTAACTCCAGACTATCGTAATGAAAATAGTGGAAGTTACACAATAGCAAGTGTTTAAAGATCACTTTTCAAAAATCAGGTGCAAAGTTTAATAAATCAAAAATCAGGTGATATTTATATAATTGATCAACCTCTAATTAAACCACCTAAATCAATTTCAAACCCTAATCATTTTACTCGTTCAGACTCTCCATTCTTTCTCTTCGTCATGGGCGATTTTTTCTTCTCCCTATTTTCTCTACTTCTCTCCATCCTATCTCCAGTCTCTCTTCTACTCCGGTAGCCCATTCAAACTCTGACAACCGATGACTACAGAGCTACACCGGGCGACGCGTGTGAAGTGTGCGGTGATTGTAGTCCATCAACGCAGCGTAGTGACGTTGCAGTCCTTTGGCGCTAATGGCTTGTGGAGGGGGTTTGGGGTTCTTTCGCTTTTCGATTTGAGGAGGTTATAGAGGCAGCGATTTGGGGATTGTTGGTAGATCTGGTGGTTGTGTTGGTGGCTTTACGACTTTGATTTTGGATTGGGTTGTGTAGTGTTTTAGTTGACAGTGTTTGTTAGTTGGTGGCAGTGATATTGGCGGGGATGTTGGCTGTGATTTTGAGGTGGCGATGTTGGTTGCAGTGGCGAATTTGATGATTTTGTTGGTGCGAAGGTGGCTGTGGTTGTGTGGTGGATTTTAGCATGCGACGGTGATGTGTTGGTTGATTGGAGGTGGAGGTGGTGGTTGGTTGTTGGAGCAAGATGCAGGGATGCAGCGGGGATGTACGTGATGATTTAGCTGCTAGTGGATCTGGCCGAGGTTTTTATGTGGTAGTGCAGGTGGAGGTGTCAACAGTGGTTGTGGCGGTCGACGGTGGTGGAGGTGGTAGACGATGGTGATGGTGGTGGGGAGTCTGTGACCAACAATTAGGCATGTGTAACCAACTATTTGGTTGATTTGTGATTAAATATTAGGTGTCTGTGACTAAAAAATAATTTGTGACCATTAAACTGTGACCTATGTGATCCATAGATAAAATGTGACCTATAATTTGAATGATCTGTGATCTCAAAATAATATGTGACCTGCAAAATTTTTTATATGTGACCAATAAATAAATCTGTGACCTATAATTATGAATCTGTGATCATTAATAATGTAATTGTGACTTTATTATCTTTATTTAAATAAATATTTTTAATTATTAAATACATACCCGATTTTTGAATTTTCAAACTATTCACTTGATTTTTGAATTGGGATAAACATAACACCTGTAATGTGATTTTTCCTATGAAAATAAAACCTATTGAGAGCCACACTAACCTAGTAAGGATATGACTGGGTCAGCCCAAGACCCATTCAAAAGATTCATAAATGGTTCGCGGCCCCCTTCAATTCCAAATTGCAATGGGAAATCGCCAATCTAGACCATGGGCCTTCTTGATCACCTTTTAACCCGGTCCATAAAATCACGTCACATGGTGCCGCTGCCTCTCATTTTATAGAATTGTTTTGGTTTGATGTGGGCTGATATCCTATAAACTGATATCTCTCAACAGTCCAATCTCTCGTCTCCTTGATTCTGCTAACTTCTCATTTCCAATAAATTGTTCCGCTCTGTTCAGGTATGTTTATCTGTTGCAAGTTGATTTTCTTAAGGGATTTTTTTTATTGTAATTTTGAGAATCATATCGTTTCTTAAGTGGGTTTTTGGAATTTATTGAAGTATTTGCTATTTGTAGGATATATTTCTTTAGGATGAGGATGAAGCCGAGGTCGAGAAATTGTTAATTTTGTTAATTCAACATTCTTCCACACCGAAATAACCTCCAGTTTCTTCAATTTCTTGAGCGTGTTTGGCTGTGCTAAAAGCTCCCTTTTTTTATTTTTAAATAAGTATGTAACCTGTTGTAAATTCAATTTCTGTCTGTTCTGTGTTCTGTACTTATCATAATTGGAAGTTCAGTCAGACGATTATACTGACTTTTCCAAGCAAGCTTTCCAGCTTGTCCCCTTGGTTCATAGTTTGTTTTATAGATTTTTTTTTTTTTGGGCCTTCACTTTGGTATTATTGTTTTTACTTAAATGCATATTATTTTTGCTGCATTTATTTTGATCACTCTTGTTTTCTTTTCGAAAAAAGAGTTCTGTTTCTTTATACTTATAATATGTTATTTTTTTTCTCTCTGTCTTTTCGTTGTTTCCTTGAATTTTTTTATGGGAAAATGCATTATAATATATATAGACTATTTTTGCTTGTTTCCATATTATTATGTTAATAAGAAAAATAAAAATTTACAAAAGGATTTTCCGATTTACGTAAGAAGATTTATTTCTACTATAATTTAATTTCTGTCCGTACATTTATGCTGGATAACGTAACTGAATGTGTTAAACTTTGCTGTCTGCAGGAAAATTACAGGTCTTCTTGAGAACGAAGAAGTGGAATGGTTCGTTAAATAGTGTTTTGAAATCATAGCAGAGCTAATTCAATGCTAATACAAAAGGCTGTAAATAAGGTTTCGAGGTGGAGGCCCCTGGGGTCAAAAGAATTCTTTCCCTTGCTTTTCTTTGGTAAAATGGAGCCTGAAATATTGAGCAAAGGGAGCTACGCATGTTTCTCGAACAATAAGAAGTAAGCATACAAGTACAAATAACTAGTTTCTAGCTTTTAATACATTATATCGTTTGAAACTCATGAGGTTTTACATTGACTTCCCTTATCATTTTTTTGGCACACTACTCCTGTTGGTCTTGTTATCATAATAATGGCTAAGAATTTTTTGTACGACTCAAAATAGCCGGTGATCAAGCAATGGTTAACTTGTGAGAAATGCACCAATCATTATACTTTACAATGGGAAAAGACCTGTGCTCATTCGGCAATTGGATAGCTCATAATTAGTTTATAGAAGTTTTAGCCTGTGATAGCTATTTTAACATGAGAGATATCTGTTTAGAAAGCATTGAAGTATGTTTATACCTTGAACTGAAGTTTTCTTAATTATTTACGATAATTGAACTCGAGAAATATATGTTTGTATTAGCTTGATGCAGATTGTTTACAGTAACAATATATGAACGTAGAAATAGCCCATCACAAGATTTTATTGGTGTAACAGTCATATAACTTGCAGTTGTTCAAATGGTGATCTATTGAATTCAAATAACCTTTTTGGCTAAATTTCACCTAAGTTTTCTTGTTATAATTAGACATTTTTCTTTTCTGGCAATCCTTGTGGAAAATCTTGAAATTATCCGTGATTGTATTTTAGTTTATTTGAATTAAAATGTGTGTGTGATGCTTGAATTGTTGTGTGAAAAATAGAATGCTGTGCAAAATTAGTTTAGCTTTTTTTGTATCTTGGGATGAGAAGTACACGTTCATCTTTGTTCATAATTTTTACCAACCATATTCTTAACTGACGATCTTTCTTCCTCCCTCCCTCTAGCAAGGACTTACAAGTGTTTTCTTTGTATCATGGACAACAAAAGAGGAGCATTTTTATCACAAAGCCAAACAAAGCATGACTTGCGGAATTTTTCCTTTTACCCAGCACCGGAAAACGTGGGAAACATAAATGGTGCTTTTTACATGCCTCATCATCGTTATAGCTCACAACACAGTCTCAGTCCTGAAAGAAATATTAACCATAAGGTATTTTGCAATGTTGACCTGCCTTGATGTTGTATTATGCTTTTCTATTACCTCAGATATAATATGAACAACAGCCATGCATATTCTGTACTGCAAAAAGCAAAGGATTCTATGTCACAGAAAAAAAAGGGAAATGATTTTGATGGAAAATTTCAGCAACCCATTATTCTGACATAGCCATTGTGTTTTCCTTCAAGACTCCATTCATCTAAACTTGTACGAAAATTGTTCTCTTTCCTTCTCTCTTTACAAGGAACACTTTCGTAACTTTCCTGCTATCCAAACAAAATCTCTTAAGGTTATATCACTTATGAAACTTTGGTTATGGGACAGCTATATCCTCAAATTTAAAATGTTTCTTGCTTTATTTCAGCTCAGAATTTAGATTCTTTAATTTTGAACAGCATTCTATATTTCTTTTTCTTTCTTTGATGGGGGTGCCATAGGTTTTAATCTGATCTTGCAGTTATTGGGATCTATTCCTGAATCTGTGACGATTGTGGAAGTCAGTCCAAGGGATGGGCTGCAAAATGAGAAGGAGATTGTGCCGACAGCGGTGAAGGTTGAACTAATAAAGATGCTAGTTTCTTCGGGGTTGCCTGTTGTTGAAGCTACTAGTTTTGTCTCACCAAAATGGGTACCACAGGTAAATATGTTATCACTGTTCAACACATATGATTAACATATATAGCTGTGTCTGATTTTGATTTTGTGTTTTTATCGCTTGAAGGACTTCCAGTTGATATTTATTTCTCCCCACAGTTTGACCTTTGTCTGACTAGATTTCTCTGTGTGTATTTAGATAAGTACAAACTTTCTTGAGCGATGCGATATCTTGCCTCCAGTTTTCCTCAACTTTCTAGCTTTATGCGTTCGTTTTTATATCATTTTTCTATCCTTCTGATCATTATTGCTGTGGGAATTTCTTTATTCTTATAAAAAGATGAGCACCAAGTCATCATTCATTCTAATTAAAATTATTTCTTCAACATCATGCAATATGACAATTAATGGGTGCTCCATAATAGAAGTTTCATAATTCAGGCTTTTATATCTAGTCAAGCATGTAAAATTGTATTGCCAAAGGTAGCAGCAGCCCGTGAGTGTGTTTATAGGCGAGTGGCAAATTGGTGGATGGTATTGCCTGTAGTTAGATACTGGGTTGTGGGTGGGGAGTGGGAAAAATGAAACAGAAGAGATCGTATGATGTTGAAAAGATAATATGAAAAAGAACATAGTAGTTATAAGACCATAAAGGAGTTGGGAAAAATGCCAGCTCCACCCCAATAAAACTGTTTACTGAAACTTTTTAAGCAAGCATGGATTTATTGCGTGCATACTCTGTGCAATAGTCATTTGCAAGAATACCCTGGATTTTGAAAGACAAATGATGATGTACTATATTGCAGAACCAATTTTATTGGGTGATAAAGGAAGCTGAAAAATTACTTGAATGAAGATTTTATTAGGGGCATAAGATAACAAAATATAGCAATAGCGATGGGGTGGACAGAGTTAAAGTTGAGATTGCAGTTTTAGTCAATATGAACTACTAGAATAAAAATATGGCTTCACATAATATTGTTTTCAAGAGAAAATATACTGAAGATGATTCATCGTGTTTCTCTGTGGAAATCAACCAAATATAGCCTTTGCAATCCATATTTTTCTTTCTCCGTATATTCTGCTTGTTGCTATAGTTGTAATTCTCTCAAAGTTTCCTTGCTTTCATTCAATGTGGATAACAAACTTGATGCTCTCATTGAGTGATTTTACTTTCAGTTATGCAACTCTCAATTTGTTTTCAAGTAAGATTTATTTCCAGATACTTTAATTCTTTAAATATCAATTTGCAGTTAGCTGATGCAAAGGACGTAGTCTCTGCAATTCAAGGTATTGTGGGTTCTCGATGTCCTGTTTTGACACCAAATCTTAAAGTAAGCTGCTTTCTCTTTTAGATGACAACATTTGGAGTATGGTATTGCAACTTGTTGAGGGATTTCATATCCTTTTGACTTTATTCCAGGGGTTTGAGGCCGCTGTTTCTGCTGGAGCAAAGGAAGTGGCCATCTTTGCTGCAGCTTCTGAGTCCTTTTCCCAGTCAAACATCAATTGCAGCATTAAAGATAGCCTTGCTCGTTACCGCGATGTTGCCCTAGCGGCAAGTAATCTCTCAATTCCTGTTCGTGGGTATGTCTCATAATTTCTTGCAAGTTTCTTTGCCCTTTTAAATTATTATTTAGTTTGTAGAGTTAGCTCTATTCTATGACGTCAATTATGTCAGTTCACAACTCAAGAGTTATGATCTAGAATCTAAGGTTTATTTCATTGAAACTGGCCTTATTCAACACAAGGCCTTTTAAATCTTAAAGCTAGTTTTTGACAAAAACATAAATCCAGCAATTTAACATGACAATGCAAGTTGGTGTTGATGTCAATTTTCAAGGCATCGTCTATGGACACTTTTTATGTTGAGATCATGGAATAACCACTGGTTGTCACAATTGTTATGTAGGAAATTGTGTATAATAGTGAAATTGATTGTTTTATAGGCTGAAATTATTCTCTAATATTATGAGACTGTTTTTTTCCTTTTTTGGCTTCATTATGTATTATAAAAGGATGTAAATAGTGATATTCAATCATCAAGAAATAAAAAGAAAAGTTCTTGGTCTCGTTTTGTTCATGGTATCGGTGTCCTAACCTCAGGTGTAGGCTATGGTTTCCTTGTGGCAGCCAGTTCTTGGTTCTTCATCGTAGGCATCACGTTGGTTGCCTCGTGTTGTCGACGATCGATTGATTGTTCACAGTCCACACTGGGATATCTCTTAGTTGGTGTTTTCGGGTGGATCATTTTGCTCTCCGATGGTCGCCCTCTCAATTTTCAACTCTGTGTGTTCTTCGTTTCTGGGGGTTCTTAGACTCTGTGCGTGTTTTGGTTGTACAATCGCTTCTGCAAGGTTGGTCGAAGTTTTTTCTTCTTCTGGCGTCTGTGTTCTGGAGTTTCATCGCACTATTCTGTGACTGTGAGTATATCGTGTTGCTGGGCTTAACGTTTAATTGTTATTGGATCTATATTGGGCTTGAAAAAATTGGGCCTGAAGTTATGGGTATGTCAATTAAAAGACAAATTGATTGGAAGTCAATACAAGGCACTAGGATTTGGGAATATCAAGCCGAGGCTAACACCAGTCCTGCTCAAATTGATGCATTCAATCCCGAACAATTGGAACAGCTCTATCGATTTTTTTCCAACCTTCAAACTTCTGGTCAGTCACTTTCTAATGGTCATTCAAACTCCTAAGCTCATAAAGGTAATTTCTTGAGAGACTTAAGTACCATGTCAAAATCTTTAACCCCCTGGATCATCGACTTAGGAGCATCCGATCATATGACTGATGCATATCATCTCTTTTCTTCATATTCAACTTGTGCTGGTAATGTTAAAGTCAAAATCGCAGATGGCTCCCTCTCATTTGTTGCAAGAAAAGGGATTATAAAACTCTCTAACTCTATAACATTCGAATCTGTCTTACATGTTCCAAATTTATCTTGTAATCTATCGTCAATTAGCAAGCTAACTAGAGACTAATTGTTCCGCTAAATTCCTCCCATCTCACTACATTTTTCAGGACCTTTCATCGGGGAAGACAATTAGTAGTGCTAAAGAGTGGGAGGGTCTGTACTACTTTGAGGAGGCTGATGTGAGTAAACAATATCAAATTTCAACCTGTGAGTCTGCATCTCTTTCTAGGGATAATGAAATTCTGTTATGGCATTATAGATTGGGCCACCTGAATTTTCAATATTTGAAACGTGTCATCCTTTCAATTTTCTTGAATAAAATTTCAATTGATTTTTATTGTGAACATTGCGAACTTGCAAAACATCACCCCACGTCTTATCCAACCTCTATACACAAACCATCTAAGCCCTTCACTATGATCCACAGTGACTTATGGGGACTATCTCGAACCCCTAATCGAACACACACAAGATGGTTTATCACATTTATAGATGATCAGACTCGAATATATTGGGTCTACCTACTAAAAGAAAAATTTGAAGTCCACTCCGAGTTTATCAATTTTCATTCAATGATTCAAACACAAATCCAAATACTCTGCAAAGATAATGATACAGAATATTTCAATACTACATTACGGGACTATTTACATAAACATAGGATGGTCCACCTGTAACGACCCAAAAATTTTAAATTCGAATCTCTACCCAAAAATTATTTATAGAAATGTCAATGTTATTTTAAACCACTTATGACTTATAAATTTAAATTTCTAACTGGCACATCCTTAGAAGTTGAATAAGGTAGGATTTCTAACAACTAAATTTGTAAATTTCATACTATTGGAATATTTTCTTTTAGAATAATCAACTACTTAAATGTTATGAAAATCTCTGTAGATAAATTAGAAATAGTATGCACAAAATATTAACTAACCATATTTTATTTCTTACTCAATTTAAAATAATAATAAGGCATATTTTATTTATTTCTTTGCAGTGAGTAGAAATATGGCATCAACTTCACCAATTTAATATTATTACTCATTCACACGAACAAGGCAGTAAAGTATAACCAATTACTTTTAGACAGTGAATACATGAACATATTTCGTTTTATCCTATATAATTAATTCTAAATAAAATTTGTTTTCATTAATATAAGATACCACTAAAGGAAAATCAAATAATTCAATTCAAACTTTTAAATAATAGCACAATTTAAAATTATCCATGTAGCAAATAAACATAAACGATAATTTAACATTAAAACAAATGTCTATGGCAAATAAATAAAATTACGTGCTAAAATTCTAGATTTTTGTCCAGCAAGACGAGGCACAACCACTCAATCGAACCACTACGCTCCACCACGACCCGATCTAACCTGTGAGGTGTAAGGAAAGGTGAGTACATGGAAATACTCAGTAGCATATAAAATTTTAATGGTGCGATCCTTAATAATAATTTTAAACACGTGTCAGGATATTATACTGTCTCATATCTTTAAATCCGGTAAGAGCTCAATCATATCATATTATTTCATTGTACCGGAATGACCATATCATTCATGTCATAGCATTTCATATCATAACTTTAACTTTCATGAGTACAAAAATTCATCAACATGTAAAAAAAAAATAAAAATTAAACGGGACATAAAAATACTGCACCTCATATTCTACCTTATTAGATTGTTTTAATTTTTTTGGAAGACAAAACCAAAGATATCACGCTCCAAATTCTTCTTGCTCCTATTTTAAATTCCAATACCATATGTATAAGTATCTATAAATTTCTAGGGTACAAAGCAAGAATCCTTTTACATTGCATAAAGTATGAAGTATGTAATTTACCTGGTTCCAACACTTCTCTCTCTACAACCGTGTACTTATTCGTATGACTGCTTTTGATAGACAAGTATAAATATATCACTCCATGATCTAGTCTAACAAAATGGGTGTGTAGTTGGGAAACGTGTAGATGTAAAATATGGATATAGATAAGAATTGGAAAAAAAAGATTTATCAAATAGAATAATTCTTGTCAACCATATCTCCCAACAATCAATATATTTTTTTATCCACGTGGCAACATCTCAAACAAATTTAGATTTCAATTTAAAATTCTCCTCCTTCTCTCTCTCTCTCTCTCTCTTCTTGTATATATGTATTATTATTATTTTATATCTTTATTTGGATAAAAAAATATTCAATCCTAACCTACCCAAGAATCTTCATCCATTTCACGTGACTTGAGAGAAATTAAATTCATTAAATAATAAATAAAAATATAATTGTAAAGCTATATCTTTCGACCTCGATAATTTGGACTTCGTTAATCCAAATTAACTTTTTCTCGAGCCTAACATGCATGATTAATTATGATCTATCCAACGAGTACAATATTGATATGCTTATTTTCACTCAGTCAACATCTACATTTTAACATCCAATAATATTGAAATTTACTTTATATATATTTTAGTCCCTAAACTTCCAAAATATTAAAATATAGCACACATAAATTAAATTATAATCTATGAAATTTTGGGATATTACACCATCAAACTTCTTGTGTCAATACTTCTCAACAAAATGGAATTGTAGAACGAAAAAATAAACACATTCTCAAAGTTGCCGGTGCCTTACTATTCACTACAAATATGCCAAAACTGTTCTGGGGCGATGCCATTCTAACGGCAACCTATCTGATCAATAGAATGCGCAATCGTACCCTATCCTTCGACTCACCACTTCAGAAGTTCCAAACACACTTTCCTACCTTTCGCCTTTGCTCTAACCTACCTTTGAAAGTGTTTAGATGCATGGCCTTTACTTATATTCACTCTGATCATCGAAATAAACTAGAACCCTATGCACTTAAATGTGTATTCATCGGATACTCACCCACTTAAAAGGGATATAAATGCTATGATCCATCAACACGCAGAGTCTTTGTTAGTCTAGATGTCACTTTCTTTGAAAAAATCCCTATTTCAAAAAACCCTCTCTTCAGGGGAGAATTTGAGTGAAGAGCGGCCTTTTGAAGAGTTTTTAAAGTTTGATCTCTCCTCTCTTAAACCAATTTAGGTCAAGTCAAATATGCCATCAACAGAACGGAACTTGAATACAGGGAGAGATGTAGACAAACAGAATGACAAGGAGATGCTAGTTTACTCAATGAGGCCAAATCCAAATTACAAAGGAAACCTAGCACCTGAAGTACTAAAAGAGTCGGAACCGGTGATGGGGCCTAATGAAAACCTACCTGATAAATTTGGATCTCCAAATGACGATTTACCTATTGCTCTTAGAAAACAAACTCGATCATGTACTCTTCACCCAATCTCTAAATTTGTGTCTTATAAAACTTTATCTACACAATTTCGGACTTTCATTGCTAATCTTGACAATACAGAAATCCTAAGGGATATTCAGGAGGCCTTGGAAGTCCCCAAATGGAGAGAAGCAATAATGAAAGAAATGCGCGCCTTAGAAAAAAATGAAACTTGGGATATGGTGAAGTTTCTAAAGGGTAAGAAACCAGTTGGCTGTAAATGGGTCTTCAATGTGAAGTATAAAGTTGATGGGACGATAGAATACTATAAAGCTCGACTGGTAGCCGAAGGATACATACAGACATATGGTATTGACTACATGGAAACATTTGCACCAGTGGCAAAACTAAACAATGTTCGGGTTCTCTTATTTCTAGGAGCTAATTTGGATTGGTCTCTTCAGCAACTGGATATTAAGAATGCTTTCTTAAATGGAAAATTAGAAGAGGAAGTTTTCATGACAATATCTTCAGGATTCAGCAATGAGGTTGGAGAAGATTGGGTATGCAAACTCAAGAAATCATTATTTGGGCTTAAATAATCACCAAGAGCTTGGTTTGATAGATTTGCAAAAGTGTTGAAGAATTAAGGTTATCAGCAAAGGCAGTCAGATCATACCATGTTCTTCCGACAATATGAAGAAGGGAAAATAACAATTCTATTTGTGTATGTGGATGATATAATCCTCGTTGGCAACAATATAACTGAGATGGATAGATTAAAGAAAAGCCTGGCTATCAAATTTGAAATAAAAGACCTAGGACAGATGTGGTACTTCTTGGGTATGGAAGTAGCAAGATCAAAAAGAGGTATCAGTGTATCACAACGAAAATACATCCTTGACCTGCTGACTGAAACTGGCATGCTTGGTTGCAGGCCGAGCAACACACCTATAGAATGTGGAAAGATGACAGATGAAACAGGGAGACCAGTTGAAAAGGATAGATACCAACAACTGGTTGGTAAATTGATTTACCTATCACACACTAGACCAGACATTGCTTTTGCGGTCAGTGTTGTAAGTCAACACATGCACTCACCGAAGGAAGCTCACCTAGAAGCAGCATATGAAATTCTCAGGTATCTAAAAGGCTTCACTGGAACGGGATTATTCTTCAAGAAGTGTGAAAAAAGGGAAGTAGAAATATTTACAAATGCTGATTGGGTCGGATTAATAGAAGACAGGAGATCAATGTCAGTTTACTATGCCTTTGTATGGGGAAATTTGGTAACTTGGAAAAGTAAAAAAAGAATGTAGTGGCATGAAGCAATGCCGAAGCAAAATTCAAAGCAGCTGCACAAGGATATGTGAAGGACTATGGTTAAAAAAACTTTTGAAAGAATTAAAGGTTGGAATGAAGTTACCAATAAAACTCTATTGTGATAATAAATTAGCCATTAGTATTTCACTCAATCCAGTTCAGCATGATAGAACAAAGCACGTGGAAATTGATAAGCACTTCATCAAAGAAAAGGTTGAAGAAGTAGTCATTTGTATGGTGTATGTCCCTACAAGGGAACAAAGGGCAGATATCCTCACTAAAGGGTTGTCTCAACGAGATTTTAACGGTTTCATCAGCAAGTTGGATATATATCTACGATCCAACTTGAGGGAGAGCGTAGGAAATCGTGTATAATGGAAAGATATCAAAATCTTTCCATTAATAGTGAAATTGATAGTTTTATAGGCTGAAATTATTCTCTAATATTATGAGACTGTTTTTTCCTCTTTTGGCTCCATTATTTATTATAAAAGGATGTAAATAGTGATATTCAATCATCAAGAAATAAAAAGAAAAGTTCTTGATCCCGTTTTGTTCATGTTATTACTGATATTCTTATTTCTTAATCGTCTCAAAATCTGGGAGTCAGACAAAAAAAAGTGGGAACGGTGGTCCCAAATCTCAGTCCATTGTAACTGAAGATTATTTTGCCTAAATGTTTAGCAATCCACCGATCCATGCTGATTGTATCTTATTTGATGCCATAAGTTGTTTGAATGTTGTTAGTTTACAGTTTATTTGATTATGTACTTGGTGACCCTTTAAGCCCTCATTGCCGACATATAGTAAATTGCCTGAAAAAGAACCATGAGATGCCAATCTTGACACCTGGATTATATACAAAGACCATGAGAATAAATTTGTAGATAAATTTGGTCTCAGATCCATCTTTGGCTCCTTTCCTTTGCTCTGGCTAAACCATATGAAAATGACTTGGTGACCTACTTGGATAGACATAAAAGAATGTCTGATCCTAGTTTACTTTTCTCTGGTTGATGAGTTGCTTTCTTTGATTTCTCCTGGAATGCCTCTTATCAATGCATGTTATGCAAGTCTTGTAATGATTTTGGGATAGTTAAAATTACCCTTATCTCCTTGTTAGTTTGGGATCAAAAGATCATATCATTTGGAAACATCATTTACATATCATGTTTTCTACTGTTATTTGTTTACCAATCTTCATTTAGTTTATGGCTGAATTTTAAAAATTTCTAGGGACAAAAACAATTCATTGTCTAACTTTTCATAGGAATTGCTGTATAATTTTTGCCAGATACATATCATGTGTTGTGGGTTGTCCAGTGGAAGGAGCAGTACCTCCATCGCAAGTAGTGTATGTCGCGCAAGAACTTCTTAATATGGGTTGCACTGAAATTTCCCTTGGTGACACGATTGGGGTTGGTACTCCTGGTAATGCTGGAATTGCCTTTTTAACTGCTTCCTGAGCAACATCTTACTGACCAAAATGACCTCAGTCCAGTTTCTTCTTATGCTTATAAAAGGAAAAGCAAAATGAAAAACAAATTTACATTTTGATACATATTAATGACTGGAGGAATATATTTAGTGTAGCTTTATCTGATGTGTTGCAGAAAGAGATCGTGCTTTTATATAAAGTTATTGGCTTCTTGGTATCAGCCTAAGCTCTTTTAATAGTAATGAGTTATATGGCCTCAATAAGCAAACCAATATATCTATTGGTAGATATGATATTTTCTTGATTTTTCTTTTTAGTTAGTACCAAGGCCAAGTGATGTGAACCCGTTAGCAACGAACACTAACGAACCCATAGAAGAATGACACAAACCCCTAGAAAGCCAAAAATCAAAGTTTATGACTCAATTCACAAATTTGCGGACCAAACAACCAATAGTATATTAAACTATTGAACTTTTGATCACGAAACTTATAAATTTAATCTAGATTTGGATTTAACCCAACCAATTAATGAATCAAACAATCCCAAGGTAACAAAGACACGAAAGACCTTTTGATTATACAATTAACTGAATCTTACCTGAGTCTTGAACGCCACAAGATCACGAAATCTTGATAAGTTCGATTGTTCCACATAAGAACAAATATTGGAAGCGAAAAAGCCTCTCGAATTAATTCTCAAAATATCAAAGTTTTTGAATATAATAATGAAATAAATTTCCTATTTATACTAAAGTCTAGAAAAAAAAAAAAAAAACTGATTTAAGAGTCCTAAAATAATAAACTTGCTAAAAATAAGAAATTGAGTCAAAATAGGATTCTCGTGAGGAAATTGCAACTTTGGTCCCGAAGTATACTATATGGCCGACTTTGGCCTAACTCGGATCATATCATCCCCTCTCTTTGAAAAAATTCAACCTCGAATCTTCATCTGGTTCAAATACTTTGCACCTTCCACCTGATGTGAACCCTTCATTGAGCTTCTTGTACCTTGCGTTGCAATGGTTGATTGATTCCTCTTCAATGCTCCAAAGTTGCTCCATTTGTTGTACATCAATGAAATACTTAAATGGTGCTTTCTCATGCAATAAATTTTTATGTTCCTGCAACAAGGAATATTTCAAATTGGAGAGGGACATGTTAGCTTTCACCAACTCTCTTTCACCACCAAGCTCACTCTTCTTTGCATATAAGCTCCCGTTTCATTTTTCTTTCATTTTCCCCTCATCTCCTTTCAACCTCAACTGATTATCATACACTTGTTGTGGTGTCAAAGGGACAAATATAATTGTTTTCCCATCCATGTCAAAGCCGTACCTATTTCTAAATCCATCATGCTTCACTTTCCTATTGTATTGCTAAGGCCTACCCAATAATAGATGCCCCGCATCCATAGGCACAACATCACATAAAACTTCATCCTTATACCTCCCAATTGACAAATTCAATAACACCCTCTTGTTCACCTTAACCTCTCTATGATCATCCAACCACTGTAATCTATATGGTTTTGGGTGTTTAATTGTTCTTAAACCTAACTTCTCGATTAATGTGGTACTAGCTAAATTTGTGCAATAACCTCTGTCAATTATTAAATTACATATCTTATTTTCCCCATGGCATCGTGTGTGGAAAATATTCTCCCGATTTTGCTCCTCTTCATCCACCTTGATTTGCGAATTGAGTGCACGCATCACCACCAATGTGTCCCCTTCAACCGGATACGCCACCTCGTCATCATCACTAACATCTTCTAACTTGGGCATTCCATCTTTATCACTGTGTCACTTACCACTTCTCCATTGTTTTCAAAATCATGGCTCTTTTGTTTGGATACTGAGAAGCAATGTGTCCTGTCCCCAAGCACTTGAAGCACTTGATGTTCCGATTCCTAGGTTGCTGTGGTTTCGCCTTTGGTGCAACATTGCTAGCGTTGTTATCCTTTTCCCTAGGTGTTTCAATTTTATTGTTGACAACAGTCCCATCAACCTTCTCTTCATCTCACCTAGACCTCCAAGATGAATTAGGCCCCTGTTGATTCCTAGCTCCCCCTTTTCTCTTCAACTGTCTCTCAACCTTTATTGCTACATGCAACATATCCTCTAGTTCCTCGTAATGCTGCAATTCAACATTGGCGATGTCCCTGTTCAACCCATTCAGGAATCGTGCCATGTTGGCTTTCCGGTCCTCTTCCACATTAGCCCGAATCATTAGAATTTTCAATCTCTTTATGGTAATCCTCCACACTCCTCGACCCTTGGTACAACCCCTGCAACCTTTGATGAAACTCCCTATAATAGTGGTCAGGCACAAACCGTTTTCTCATGACCGCTGTCAACTCATCCCAAGTAGTTATCGGCCTCTCTCTATTCCTTTGCCGTGAAGTGACCACCTGATCCCACCAAGTGATAGCGTAATCAGTGAACTCCAAGACTGCAAGCTTCACTTTCTTCTCCTCCGAGTAGTAGTGGCACTCAAATATCAACTCCACCTTTTTCTCCCACTCAAGAAATGCCTCTGGGTCACTCCTACCCCGAAATGTCGGAATTGACATTTTAATACTACCCATACCCCCATCACCATCGTCTCCCCCATAGTTTCTATCCCTTCGTTCAAACCTACCATCTCTATTCCTCATCCGTCCCATCTCTACTTCTTCAAATTCATCATCATCCCATTCACTATCATACCCATATTCATTTTGCATATCCATCCTTGGCTCTCGTCGAGTCAGCCTCCTAGCATGTGGTGTGTCTGCCCGTTGACCCCAGCTAAAGTTTGTAACCGTAGCGTCTAGCTCGTCCCAACCTATTCTCCACACTAATTATTATGCGCTCAAACCGCTGCATCATATCGTCTGCCATGTTATTTTGATTTTCCATCCTGCTTGAAGTGGATCCTTCCGGATCTTCCCGTTCTGACATACTCACAAATTTTCTGCGTCACCAAAATTTCACTTGTGATTCACTCAATATTTGGTTTTTACCCTCAATTAAACTCATTCAGCCTTTTACTACTCAATCTTCCAATCAATGTCCAAAGAACAATTTTTGAACTCAACTTGAATGATTCTTGTGGAATTCCAATTGAATTGTGCTGATTCAAGATGAGGAAGAAAAATGACTAATGTATTAAATAGAATTTTTGGAGGGACTCAAAAAATTTTTTTTTTTTTATTGATAAACAGTACGGTACGGACTGTACGGCACAGATGAACAGTAACGGTAGATTTAAAAAAAAAAAAAACAATTAGACTACTAAAAACTTTAGATCTAGGACTAAAACTTATTGGGAAACACGAAGAACAACGAAGAAAAACTCAAACAAAGACTCCAAAATAAGAACAAAAAAACAAAGGGATATAACTTTGATTCTGGTACCTAAGCTTTGACACCACCTGATGTAAACCTGGTAGCAACGAATACTTTCAAACTCACAAAAGAATGACACAAACCCCAAGAAAGCCAAAAATCAAAGTTTATGACTCAATTCACAAATCTGCGGACCAAACAACCAATAGTATATTAAATTATTGACATTTTGATCACAAAACTTATAAATTTAATTTGGATTTGGATTTAACCCAACCAATTAATGAATCAAACAACCTCAAGGTAACAAAGACACGAAGGACCTTTTGATTACACAATTAACTGAATCTTACCCGAGTTTTGAACGTCACAAGATCGCGAAATCTTGATAAGTTCAATTGTTCTACACAAGAACAAATATTGGAAGCGGAAAAGCCTCTCGAATTAAATCTCAAAATATCAAATTCTTCGAATACAATAATGAAATAAATTTCCTATTTATACTAAAGTCTAGAAATATAGAAAAAAAACCTGATTTAAGAGTCCTAAAATAATAAACTTGCTAAAAATAAAAAAATTGAGTCAAAATAGGATTCTTGCGAGGAGGTTGCAACTTTGATCCCGAAGTATACTATGCGGCCGACTTTGGCCTAACACGGACCATATCACCAAGAGAATCAGCTCCATCTCAGACAAAATTTCCAGTCTCCTCTCACCATGAACCATATATAAACATTCACTGAAAACAAAGTATCCTTTCAATTTGATGACAGTTTTCTGAAGTGGTTGTCAACCTTTTAGAGAATGACAACTCATATAGTTTTGACATAAATCGTTATTATTATTATTTTTTTTTTGGTCTTTGCCGTACTAGCCTTTATATGGGCTCTAGTTTGCAATAAATTGCTGTACTTCGATATCTTAATTGTTATATCAAATATTTGGGAATGGTTTCTTCTTGTTTCTTTGAGATGATGCTCCTATTTTAAGGGTTAATTGATCTCTTTAGAGTATTTTTGCGATTTGATACCAAATTTTTAGCATTATATCCTAGATTTTTGTGATTATTTTTAAAATTATCTATTTGTCCATGATTTACCCAATTATTAATTGAGATCAAAGGTGACCTCTTATGTGCACTTCCGTATCATGATCTTAAGCCCACTATTCAAACGTGTGACTTAGCACACTTGCTGTCTTTTCAACATTTATATTCTTTTGACGCACAGTAATTGTGATTTTATTTAGCGTATGAGCATAATGACTTCATAGACTGTTTTTGTCCCAATGTTGGCACTGAGAATCTGTCAAACGGTACGTATCAAAAAAAGAAAAAGAAAGAAAGAATCTGTCAAATGGACCCTTAGATATCGATCGTGCCCAAGTAGATTTATCTTTGTCCTTTTCTGCTTTATCTTCTTGCTTTGGAAACTTTTCAATCTTCTTTCAACTTTCTGATGCCCTGACACTTTTGCCAGGGACTGTCATTCCAATGCTGGAAGCTGTTCTTGAAGTTGTCCCCATAGAGAAGCTAGCCGTTCATTTTCACGATACTTATGGACAAGCTCTTTCAAATATTCTTATATCACTCCAAGTAATTTATCTTCCTTTTAAGCTGCCTTTTTGTATACAAATGTAACCTTTTTCTATTGACATGCTTCTTTTTCCCTCTAAAAATTTTACATTGGTCTTTTATGGTCTGATGTCCCTCAATATGAAGAATCATGTTTCTGCATAAAGTGAAAGTGTAATATCATAGCTGAGTCTACGAACTCAGAATATACTTGGGCTCGCAGAAAAAATAAAGGGAGGTGGGAGGGGGAGGGGGGAGAAAGTTAAGAGTTGCAGACGTTGACATTGATGTGGAATGGTCAAAGAAGGAGTTGGAATAATAAGACAATAACAATTAAATTGCCAGGATCTTACATGGTTAAGTTCGGTAAACCTTATTAGTAGTGGCATGTTAGGAAATGGATAATGAGTTAACAAATTGTTAATAACAACCAGTTAAGCATAAAAAGTTAACATGGAAGAGTGGAAGAAGGTAAAGAAGCTTTTAAGAGGAACATGATATTGTTAATGATGCCTTACGCTCTTGAAAAATTGTGTCTTTTGAAAAGGTAGATGTGAAGGTAGTGGTATCAAACGTGTCTCAAAGAATAACACAGTAGTTGTAGCACAACTTTGGGGTGTGGATTCTATAGGAAGATGGATGAATTGTTTAAAGGATTTATCAAATTAGGATTTCGTGAATTATGTGAAAATAATTTGTCAATTGGAATGAGATTTAATCATCAATATGCGAGATTAGTGATGCGTCTGAATTCCTTCAATTGAATTAGATCATCAATATCAATAATTCATGGCTTTTTGCTCAATTAGAGGTTTTCATCCCAATTCTCTAATCGGAAGATTTAACAATGAAGATCAATCAAATTTCAATTGTAATCCTAGGATTTAGACTTTTGTAAACCATTCCCACACATTTATTGGACTAAAATTAAGAATCGACAATATACACAACGTACAAGGCAGTAAATAATCAACCAATAAAGTTGATTGAAATTGAAATTCAACAATTAGTTCAATTCCACAATAGAAAAAACATGATTGAATTTATGAAGAATCTAGTAAAAGTTAATTCAATTCCAAAGTAAATTCATGAGAGAAAGTCTAGATCTAGAATTTTTTGACAATAAAAATACCAATTTGCATGAATAAATGATCTAAAGTCGCTAAATCTAATGAGTTCCTTCGTCGCTTCACCTATGAATTTAGTTCTCCATCGAATTCTTTAGTCCAAGATGAGAGAAAATTGTTATGGAGGTGAAGAGAGGCGTGTTCTGCCCAGTCTAGAGCTTAAAACCGTGTGCCAAGTTGTTATCAAAAGACGTTGAACCGAATAAGGAAACTAAATTTTCGGCCAAAATATTATGTGCAATTACTTTCAGTATTTTGACCATAACTTTCTCTCCCAATGTCCGATTAAGGTAATTCAAAGTGCGTTGGAAAGCTGACACAAAGGGCTACAATTTTGCTAGAAGTAGCTATTTCCAAATTCGAAGGTTTACTAGGTCAAAAGTTGATCTCAATCTCCAGCTGAAAATCTGGGAAATCCTTATGCGGTTGGAATTTGATTTGTGAAAATATTATGGTCATATTTAACTTCTTTTGACTTCTAATTGTATCCAGTTGACCCCTAGCATTCTCAAATCATCATTCCATCGCCCGTCTCATCTATGAATTTTTTGCAACTTGGTTCTTGAACTTTCACTTTGGTCATTTTTCACTCATTTCTTCCGAGTTCCGCCTTTTTCATCAATTTGCAACCTAAATCAAAACATTACGATAATGAGAGCATAAAGTAATCACACAAATGCAACAATTAAGAGGGGAAAATTATGATATTTTGCACTCTTATAAAAAATGCAGGACATATCAATGTGGCAGAGTAATGTCTGTTCAGCTCCCTCTCATCAATGTACCAAGCATGTTTGGCTGAGCTTTAAAAAAAGAAAGAGAAAAGCAAATGCTACTTTTAAGTAATTTTCTCCTAACACGATTGATTGTTATACTTACTATAGTGTCAAAATAAGTAACTTATGATCAATTTTTCTCAACAAAAATAATTATATTAAAAGTTCTTACCTACTCTTACTAAAATTTTTAAGATACCAACTCAGTTACAATCTATTCGGAATAATATGCCAGTCCATGGTAAAATTGCTTTGCAGCCTGCGTTCCTTGCTTAAAAATGAGAACATTGCTGTAAAAGAATTTATTTTATGAAGAATTGTCTGGAATTAGTACTATGGACATGCCATCACTAAAGGTGTATGCTAGTTATGTAGTTTGGCGTTCTTTGCAGATGGGTATCAGGACAATCGATTCTTCTGTGTCGGGCTTAGGGGGTTGCCCATATGCCAAAGGTGCTTCTGGAAATGTTGCGACTGAGGATGTTGTTTACATGCTAAATGGACTTGGCGTGAAGACAAATGTGGATCTCAGAAAGCTCATGTTGGCTGGAGAATTTATCTGTAAACATTTGGGCCGGCCTTCTGGTTCTAAAGTTGCAATTGCCTTGAGCAAAACCACCGCTACTGCCTCCAAGCTTTGAGGTATTTTCTGATGAAACAACCTGAATTATGCTATTGCCTACAAGCTTTTACGTATTGTCTGATGAATTGACTGGATTGAAGGTTTCCTGTTTGATACCGTCTTTTCATGGTTAGTGGGGAGGAGGGGTTAAGGTTGTACATGTTCTGCTGTGTGGCTCTGCACGGGGCTGATTTCGTTTACAATTAGACTTGAGAGACCATAATTGAATACATGAATAAGTTGATGAAACTGATTAAAGTATGGAAATTTATTTCCATGGCTTAAATTGATTACTGGCAAAATGTCCATGAATCTTTTTTATTTTTTTTTCTTTTCCCTCTACCCTTGTATCTCGCGTTGCAAGTTAGTTATAATATTGCTGATCCTCGTGCTATATAAGATAGAAACTCTTGTAAGAGTTATCCTCTGATTTCATTTTCACGTATAAGATTTCATATATATCATATATGACCTGCATATTTTATTTTCCCTGTGATAGTCGAAAAGTTGGACAGATACACACTGTTATATACTCCCACAGATTTTTATTTTCCTTGTGATAGCTGAAAACTTAACAGATGTACTGTGAAATTCACCCTCCTAACATTTATCGTATAAATGAATGACCATAAAATTTTGGCTTTATTAATTCCTCATATTATTTGGGGATTGAGAAAAATGGATTGAGGGAGATTTAGTGCACCCAAGTTTCCTTAGTCACCAAAATACGAGTGTCAATATCCATATTTCTGCAACTTTTTGTGTTAAGGTGATTAGTTAGGGATGATTATTTACTGGGATGAAGGATGCATGAAGACGAACAGATAAAAAAGTAAAAAAGAATACAAAAATATGGTCATAATACATCATCTTAATATCAATAATAAAACAAAATTATATTTTTAACTTGCTAACTAACAGAATATGGGTTAATAAAGTAGAAATTTTTAAGTTTTTAATAACAAAAATTATAATCTACTAGCAGCAGTTGAAACTACCCAACTAGAAGAGTCTCTCATAGCTACTTCCCTTATCATCATCCTTGTTGTCACTATCAGTTTCTTCTTATTCTTCATCATCATACTCCGCTTAACCGCTTATAATGAAGAAAATAAACCGGTGAAACATTAAATGGTATTAAAAAGAATAGCCAAGAAAATTGAGGCCAGTAATATAAATCCCAGAAAAAGGACGACAAATGAGTGCATCCATTAACCACCGTGTTGCAAGGCTCTCGAGGTTCGATTGAACTTTTAGGCATTCATTGATAGTTGACGAGCCTCGAGACGTTTGCTTTCAGATAACTTTTCAATACTATGTTTTACTTGAATGCAATTTTAACCTGGCTCGTGCTTTTGAATGAATAATTGTTGTTATTATGATTTTGTCCTTCTCAACAGCACAGGTGTTTTTGTTAAATGCAATGGCATTGTTAAGAACTCGGTGGTAGTTGGAAGAATGGTAGTTTTTATGGCTCTTCTGCACTCTGCACTCAATTCTGGCAATTTATTGCCTTCCCTAACTGCACTGAGAAAGTTGTCGGACCTCGGAAAAAACTGCAGACTGTTTTAAATTTTGTTAATTTTAAACATGGGAAAACTCAACAGGACAAGACCAGATATGAAGGGATGTCTGTCATTAAATTGAAGTGTTTTTTTTTTCAATTAATTTTTCATGAATTTTATGTATATTTATTTAAATTATGTTTTGTGGTTTTCGTTATTCTACTACAGGCAATTAACTTGGAAATGTATTGGTACAAATTCAAGCTAAGGTTTAGCGTTTGTTTGGTATAGCTTATTTGGAAGTCATTTTTCATTAAACTTATTTTCAACAATGCATTCTCTCAAGAAAAAATAATTATCAATGTGCAGCAATAAATTTTCCCTACTTTTAAATCACAAATTTTCAATTAAATCAATTTTCATTTCAAATAATCTTTTTCAAACAAATACTTAGGGTCCGTTTGATTGCAAAGATAGAATTAAATTGAATTGAAAATCAATTTCAGGGAATTGAATTGTTTAGAAATTATTTTTCGGGAAATTGTAAATTATTGTGTTTAATTGGTATAATTTTCTAAGTGGAAAATGTTAAAATAAAAGTGTTTTTTGGTGTTCGTTGGACTTTGTTTCACATGAAAATTGTCAATTAAATGGATAAATTTTACTGGTATTAGAAATGAAATTTGTTTTCATTGCCAATAAAAACAAAAATAAAAAATAAAAAAATTCAAGAAAATTATCTATCTTTTGGTGTTCTTTTGGCTTTATTTTATAAGAAAATTGTCAATTAAAGTGAAATATTTTTTTTCCAATAATTCTTAGAATTAGTTTCCATTGAAAAAAAATGAAAAAAATTAAAAATGAAAATGCTACAGTTGACTAGAATATTGGTGAGAATTCAAATTCCTTGAAAACAAGGAAAAGTGCAATTTCCAAGAAATCTAAGAAATTCAATTCTATGGTAAATATACTTTGTCAAACACCCTTTTTGTGGAAGTTGGAATCCAAATTCCATTTTCTAGGGAAAATTTTGTTGAATCAAACGGTGCCTTAGATCTCGTTTGAGCTCTATTTTTTTTTTGTTAAAAATGCATTTTGGAATGTTATTTTGATGGAGAATGTATGGTTAAAAAATAACGAAAAGTTTTGAATTTACGTGTGATAATTTTTCATGTTGTAGCGTTTTTTAATATGCATAAGATTTTATGTTTGAGCGATAAATTAAAATACATTGAGCACACTTTTAAAAATAAGTTAAAATCTTTATCGATGTATTGTGCGTTTTTGTCCCTCCAATTCATAACAAATATGGAATATTGGTGAATTATCGAGTTAATAATTATATTTCTCTGTTAAATAATATTTGAAAAAAAATTTGAGATCTAAATTGAAGCACGTAATGTACAAAGTAGGTTACTAGTCTATTAGTTCTTGAGTATAACATGAGGATGACTTATGGGAGAAGGAGACCGTTTGGTTAAGTTTAACAAGTTCACTTATAAGTAGATAAATTAATTATAATACATATAAATTTTATAATTAGTCCATTTAAATAATAATAAGCTTACTGTTCAAATCGTTTAACAGTGAATCAGTGAGTGAAGATTGGAATTAGGAACACTAAACACGTAGTAATACATAGCACTTACTGATTAATAACAGTCCTAAATAACTCTATTTTGTATTTTATTTTATTATATCTATGTAATGTTGCAGATAAATTAAGAACAAACAAGTCAGTCTTGTGATTTTAGAATGTCAATAGGACGTTTTGACTTAGAGATAAAAATAATTAAAAGATATTTTAAAATACGATATTTCATGTAATTATTGTCCAGTGTAGAAGTTCACGCTATATAAATATGAAATAATAATCAATATAAAAGATTTGGTGCGATACTCTTAAAAATATTGACTTTTAAGATGATACTCCAACATAATCAATGCAGTAACAAAAGTTGAGAAGCTCAACAAACAATTTGGCGTGTTTGTATATAAAACTTAAACGTGCGATTAGATTTCAAAATTTGTATTCTGAAATGTGCGAGTATCTTAACATAGACATTTTAAGGGTCAATCCCATACCACTTAAGTATGAAAATAATAATCAACGTACGGAGATTTAGACTACTCATTTTAACAAAATTAACCTTTTATAAATATGGAAGTACAAAACAATAATTTAATTCAGTTTCTTGGTTTGATTTTTTTCTTGAAGATGGTTAAATAATATTTTCTTTATGCATGTTTGGCTTAACAAAAACAAGAAATAATTTAACTTATTCTGTTTACAATGCTTTTGCTTTTACTTCATTCAGTAAGAGGAAAAATAAAGACTGTTCATCTCTTTTTAAAAGGTTTTGCTATTAAATTTGAATCTACAAGAAAATCGAACATAGAATCCTTAACGCTCGTAATAATTTATGTAATATTTATATGAGGTGGTTGAACATATATTTTAGTAAACAAATATTTGAGTTCAAGTCTCAGCATGGACATCGTCTATTTGTAAAATTTATACCTTTGATGAATATAGAATTCGGCAAGAATTGTTAAACACTAAAATTTAAATGAATAAATGTGTCATTTATTAAATCATTTAACCTTATAGACAAAGTAACTCAACAGTAAGTTTTACTGCAACATCTTCTAACGTGATTTTACAAATCTGAACAAAATTACGGGCAACAGAAAATCATAGAAAAGATTTAGATTCTTGATTAGTGGAGCCATAAACATCATTAGGTGGTGGTTTAAGTATGTCATTGAAGTTATTATTCACAAGGTAATTGATAATCATCGACAGCGTGAGTGAATAAGAAGGTAATTGAATCAAACGATCCATCAGTTGGGGGCCTCTATTAATCAGTAAGATTGAGTGAAAACAACAAGACAACTATTTCTATCCTACCTAAAAAAATCTTGAAAAGGATAACGATATATATATATACACGTATGGGTATATATACGTGTGAATTTTATTGCTTAATTTATATTGAGTTCTGAAGTTTCATCTTAAAACATAAACATTGTTAAGAGGGCTAGCTAGCTCAAATCTTTTTTATATTATTAAGCAATGTTTAGATTTTACCTTTAATATTTCACTACTGAAAATCAGCTTTTCACCTACGAATAATTACCAACATATTGTATCCGTTGTTGAATAAGAATGGATTATTCATTGATAAAAGTATTAAACTTTTAACTACAAAAATTACAAACGAAATTTTCATTGATAAAAGTGGTAGCTTTTTACTAACGGATATTCCGTGCCTAATGTTGTTGTTTAATATACATACCATTTAACAAAATGCAATTCAAAAGCAATTATCAACGGAAAGTGGGTTGGTAATGGTTAAGATTTTACCAACGAAAATTAAGAGCATGTTTGGTTTGTCATTTTCCAACCGTTTTCTATTTTTAGTTTTCAAAAATGCCCAAAACATGTTTACTCACTCGTTTTCGAAAATGCATTTCTGAAAACAAGGAAAAAATTTTAACCGAAAACTGAAAACGATTTTTTGTTTTGTTTTGAATGTTTTCAGTTAAAAAACTTAAAAACTCGGAAAACGCTCAAAACATGCATTTTTTTCATTTATTTTTTTTATTTTTACCTAGGGAATACTCGGTAGTACTTTTAAAATAGTAAATTCACCAAATTTAAAATATATATTATGTGGTAATATATTAGCATAAAATTATTATGTTTTACTAAATAATCAAATTAATTGAATAAATGTCATAAAACATTTTCTAAAAATTTATTATTTATTATTTTATTTTTGTAGCAAGAAAAAAATAATAAATTCACCAAGTTTAGAATATATATTATCTGATAATATATTAGTATAAAATTATTATGTTTTACTAAATAATCAAATTAATTGAATAAATGTCATAAAACAATTTCTATAAATTTTAAACCAAACGTATTTTCTAGTTTTTTATTTTTAGAAACCTTTTTTCAAAATGAGAAACCAAACAAGTTTTCTATAATTCGAAAATAATCCCTCAAAACAGAAAATTGAAAATGAATTCAAAACTAAAAACAAAAAACGAAAACGCAAATTAAATGCACCCTAAGATTTTATCAACGAAATTTTCGTTGGTGAAAGGTTCACACTCTATCAATGGAAAATTCATCCATAAAAAGTTTACTCTTTACCTACGGAGTGATCAGTTGGTAATCATCAGCGACCATCAAATTAACAATAAATTTGTGGTTGCTAATATTCCATTGATAAAGAATAATAACAATGGATATCATAGTTTCAAGAATGAAAAAATCGTGTCTGAAGTCTTTTTTTTTTTTTTTTTTTTTTTTGTAGTGTTCTCATTACAAGATGGTGACTCGTTTGAGCTTTTTGGGCTTTAAAGTCTTAGAATCCAATGGCACCTCGAGCTTTATATGAATTGAATTGCTAGTTTGAATTTTTGGGTTTGATATGATACTAAGTCTAGAAATTCCATCTTAAAACCCTCAGTTAGTTAAGGCTTTTTGAGTTTAGTAGAGTTAAAACACACCAAAACTAATTGTTAAAGTTGCTAAATACGTAATTTAATTGAATAATTCGAATTTTCGGTTAAAGAGACAGATTGAAACGATAATAAATATTTCTTTATTCGACTTCAAATCCATGAAAATATCCCATCATCACAACTTGCTATCATCAGTGAGTATCTTTTCTTAGAAATGTGTTATCTTTTATTTTTGTTGTCTTGTACAAAAATTGCCCAAGTAAATGACTAAAAGAAAGAATAAATGAAAAACCCCTTTTCCAAGGGATTCCATCTTTATGCTATAAGAGGAACTACAAATACCAACCAACTGGAAAAACTATCAGACATATATTCATCACACCAACAACCACACATTAATGGTATTTATTAATAGTAACAGAAAGGTGACCTAATAATTATTTATCATTTTTTCAAATAAAATTTTCAGTAATGTGGAGAAGAAACAATAAACAAAACATCAATTTTGCACATAAATCAATTTTCACCATTTCAATGTTAGATTTACTGGAAGATTTGAAACAAGAAGATCCTTAACAACTTCGACCAGCCATATTAATTTCGGTCGACCTGTCTCTCCCCTGACGTGTTCCACAAGATCGGTCGCTCTTATGAACAGGAGCCAACATGTCGCGACCAAAAATACTATAAATTTTTAAAAGAAAATTTCATGGCTTGAG